GCAAGTTGCATGGGTGTAATTGAATGTTGCGTTAATTTCCTACCTTTATAAATCAGTAGTCAACAAACATGGGCCAAGCTGCCATGATGCTGCCCCATCTGTGCTTCTTAAAAGATCCAAACCAAAGCCTGTGGCGGTGAGGTTTTTGGACCAGGGCAGCAGCTGCTTTGGGGAGTGCTGGAAGGTTACTGAGAGTGGAAAAACCCAAGAATGTCGCTTCAATCCAGAAGGCCAGAGAGATGGCGCTTGGGTGGTTACAGCTGCGTCTGAAGGGACAGATGGCTCAGTTATCCCAGAAATGGGGGAATCACCCTCTACTGGTGCCTATGAAGGAGTGGCAAAACTAAATTGAGAGAACAGTTTTGTCTCAGTTTCCAGTCGGATGAGATGAATCCAGTCTTTGCTAACCACTGGTTCAGGTAACAGGTGGAGTCTGTGACATCTAAATTAAGATAGATATTTTACTTAAGTTCAAGCACTGCCAAGAGAGACTCTTATTTAAGACCTCATTTTCTAGAGTTAAAGGAATAATTCAGGGTTAGTGAGGAAAACATGCCATGTAAATCAGAGACGGAAGGTGGTCAGTATTGAGATTATCCAAGTTAAGGACATAAAGTGACTTGAACAATGTCTACAAGTATCTGTATGGGAAAAAAAATGTCTTCTAATGCAGTTAACTTCTTCACTTCAAAGAAGGAGGTGTAAGCAATTCTAACTACTATAAACTGAAGCTGGACAAATCCAGAACAGAAACAAGCAATGCTGGCAATTGTCAGCTGGAATAAATCGGGCCAAAGGATGGTGTGTGCCCTGTCACTAGAGCAAGAGTGGTCGCTTTCCTAAATGGTGATGCTCTAAGTACCTGAGCTGCTGTCTTGGGCAGAAATTGATGAGATTGTGTGGTGTGTGTTACAGAGCCTGTCACAGACTGCGTGCACGTACAACATTGCTTCATATGCAATCAGAGAGCACCAAGCTTTTGTCACTAATGAAGAAACCTAAAAAAGGCCAAAGCAAGAGAAGCATGTCTGTACTCCTTGTCCTGCTAAAGGTGAGCAGTGGTACCGTATGGCATACGGCTAAATGGAGCCCAGGTTAAAACTCAGCAACATGTATTAATTTAGGCTTCGCAAGACGCTTCTGGAGTCAGTGGCACAGGGAGGAAGGAGGATTAAGGAACAAAAAATGAAGTGTGATGGAGGGGAGGCAGCGAGGACTGCTGCTGTAGCCAACTGACAGCATTTATGACTATTGCACCCAAAAAGCTTGAAATTTTTGTTGGGCACGCTGCTGTTTGATGTTTTAACACAGTAGGAAGAATTTTTTCCTTGACCTCCACTGCTGTGAACTCCATGGTAACTGGTAGTCCATGTCATTTTGATTCTGGTTAACAGATGATAAAGGGCCTGAGCAGTTTGTGTAGAATTACTTGTGTTTCCCTGCTGCTCCATCATCCACATTGCAAAAATTCCTGTGTGAAGCTTGGTAGACCCGAGGAAAATGTGGAATGAGGAAGAGGGAATGAAATGTTGAGTTAGGGGTGAGAAAAGTCAACCATAAATTATAATGTGGAACCTGTGGGAGACTTTCTGATGCAATAAAATTATAAAGTGTCTGAAGAGCCAGAAACAACTTGCCAATACAGGTCAAAAAGGTAAGAGGAAGCTATTGCATATCCTTCAAAGACCTTGACCCTGTGAGCAGAGTTTCAGCTCTAGCAATGGCTCGGTCCCGCTCCAGGTGTTGGGCCATTGACCGTAGGCTGTGCTGCTAAGCTTTGCAAAGACATGCACAAATGAGATTAGTAAGTTAAATAGTTCAAGATAAGCACAATCTATGGACAGCATAGGTGAGCGAATGTGTTTTCTCTTAGCCAGAAACACCCTCTCCCCTCCGGCCTGGGTCTCCTTTCTGTGTGAACAGATGACCACGGACAGAAGTTGAGAGCACAAGGCTTGTACCACGAGGGAAGCAGAAAGCACAGGCTCTGCTGTGTGCTCAGCTGCACAGCGCAGCCATGTGACTATTTGTACCTTATTTAATCATCAGTTGAATCATTTAATCTCTCAGATGCAGGCAATTGCATTTCCGTATCCGATTTCTGTCAACTATAGCCTGATTATTTTAAGGGGAAAAAAATTGGTCTAGCTAAAGAATTAATGGATTCCTAGACTAATACTTGACAAAACTGAGATTCCTAGACTAATACTTGACAAAACTTCTGAGATTCCTAGACTAATACTTGACAAAACTTATGAGATTTAACACAGCAAGTAAGAATGTTAGATTGTTAAACTACCCCAGACTATGTCAGAGTACTAGCCCAAAGGACAAAGCTGCATTAAGGAGTGTAATTTATTTAGGAACTTTTATACAATTTCTTTATCTTTACATGCGAGGGGGAAATGATCCAGTGAAGATGCTTGTGTGACAGGCATCGACAAGATGCCTGTGCTGTGAAATTCAGACTTGCTTCCATGGAAGATAACAAAATTCTTGCTGTGTTCCATGGAAGCTGAATGAAAGAAGGGTTTTAGGATTGCCTCACAAGAGACCTCCCTGCAGTACTAATATACAGGTTCCAGCTCAAGTCTGTCTCTTTTCTACTAGGTGAAATAAAACCAACTTCTCAAACTTGATGTTACCTTGGATTATGTGAATAGATCTGTTGCTACAGGCAATGCATTCACAATTAGATCCATTCATTTGACATGCTGCTTAGAGAGGGCTCAATCTTCTCCATGCTTTTTTTTTTATTTAATTGTGACGTGATTAAAGCATATAAACAAAACCAGCCATTTCTGACCCCCCAAAAAAAGAAGTAGCAAAGTTCAGATTATCATTGTTCCTTCTTTTTTTTGCATCACATCAGGATTTTTCCTAACATGCAGTTTTCTTACGGAAAGGAATGGCTGATAATTTACAACACATTATTAAATATATAAAAAAATACATACAGAGACAAATGCAATATACTGAATTTAGAACCCTTTGTTCTGGGAAGGTTCATTTTTTTTTAAATCGACATAGTCCATCAGGCCAAACAGTCGCAGACTGGTATTGGATATGGTTCTGCTACACATTTTATCATTCAAACATTCTTTTCTTTCTGTTTTTAATTTTACATTAAGAACAGCAAAAGCCCCTGAAGAATTTTGATTTATTTCGATGGCTAATGATTTCAAGATCATTTTCAGTGCCATGTACTAATTTATGCCAATATATTGCCACAATTTAGTGACTGGTTTAGTAATCTAGTTCATTCACTTGCAATGCAAAGCACAATTGATCTTGAATATATGTCTGCAGATTAAATAGTTCCATTAAAATTCTCACTGTAAAGAAAAATTGGGTGATTTCTACCAGGCAATTTTATTCTCAAATTAATATATAGTGGATAATAAAAAAAAATTGTTAGACATATCACCAAGAAGGCCAGGAAGAGCCTGGAACAACAAAATCAGTACTTAAGTATGAATCCATTTCAGTGACACAGTGGCATGCTTTCTACTTAAAAGTTGACAGTACTCCAGGAAGTCTGGAACAAATAAATTATTTGCTTGTTTGCTACCTGGACACAGATCAATAATACCTCAGGGCAAACACACTCTATACCCAATCTCTTAATGTAATTCAAATTGAAAGGAGAAATCTGCCTAATGGCAAAAAAGCACCAAGCAGCACAAAATTAAAAGAGGAGTTTGTGGTGCACTGTATATACATTAAAAAATCTACGCAGTATATGTATGCATACAATAAGATTACCCTTAAAGCTTCCTTAATACTGTTATTTAACTTTGAGTTACCTCTGTGTGTGTAGTAATCACTGTATGTTTTTGTGCATTGGTTAAAGAAGACTTCAAATATGGAGGCTTTACATTCAGATGCCTGAACTTTTGCTTACTTAGTCATTAATGTTGTTCAGTAATTTACTGTTAATTCACCTGTCCTCAGCCAACAGGAACCAATAGGTGTAACTGCTTCCCAAAAGTAGTTTTCGTAGTTTAGTATCTTCCATCGCCCATTAATGCAGAGCCAGCCTTCATGAAATTAGTTAACAAAAGCAATTGGAGAAATTTTACAGTGTGATTACTTTACACGTTGAAGGTTTGTGGTTTTGAATTGCATTTCATTTGCTGTCTGGTTCACGCTGATCAAGAAGTGGTTGAGACAGTTTGAAAAATGGGCATGTGTTCTGGTGGTTTTCAGAAAGAAAACAATGCCTGCTTTTCTGCCTGCCGTTTCCAGAACTGTGGCAATGCTGAAGGCACTTCAGTTGGACATAGTATATATGGGTCAGATGTAGGAGAAAGTCTTGGACAGTCCAAGACAGAGGACACATACTGGCTCTGTTGTGCAGATCTCTGTGTGTTTGAAGAGCATGCACCAAGCTACAGATCAGCCACCTTCTTTAAACTGCAGTAATTCTCACCAAACACGATGCTGTTCGGAGTGAAAATAATAATCCCAAATCTTGAACTGTTGCCTAGGCTGGTGGAAAGGAGCCAACACTCCTAGGAGTAGCGCAAGAACTGTTACCAAAAGAAGTCAAAAGGTGTGCTCATCTCTTTGAATGCACAAGAAATCTTTTCTGGGTATTTTTGAGTATTGCTAGTAAAACAGCACTTATTTGCTTTAAACTGTGATTGCTTTCTGTATCTATTAAAAGTAAACAACCACCCAAAAGACAGATAATTTTCCCTTGATGAGACTAACCATGGAAAATTTCAAATGAGAAGGAAAATCTTGCTGAAACTTAGGAGAAAATATGAACTAAGGAGATTAAAGACTCTTTTGCAACCTTCATACTTAGGCTTGTTGCCATGTGAACAATCTCTTGATATTTCTTAGTACATTATAGAAAAGTGGAAATTGAGGCAAGGTACAAATTTTGTTTAACTATGGACATTTTTGGTAGACAGAAAGAAGTTGCAATTTACATTTTAAAAATGAATAGAAAATTTGATGCCTTCAGTATACTTAGTAGAGAGGTGCATGTTTAAGAATTTTATTTAACAGTTAAAATGTATGAATTTACAACTATTCTTATTTCTGGTAAGTAGCATGATACACTTCAGCCAAAGTTGAATTTCAGGAAGGTAAATACACAAGTGAATATGTGTGTTATCAGGGGAGCCATTTACAGCATAGAGACTACTAGTAAATATAACAGAGTGTGAAAGGTATTAGACAACAAATGTATAAAAATTATTATTCAGAGTCGTTTCAATTTTCATAGTCCCCGGATTCATATTCTTCCTCATCTTCATCATCAGAATCGTCATAATAGTCCCCATATTCAATGCTGTAGCTTGCACTTCTACTGCCATCAGTAAATGCAAATGCAGGAGATAAGCCTGCAAGACATAATTGCATGCAGATTAAATGAGTTGTAGATAGGAACAAAGAGGAAAGTATAGGTTTGGATCTGTACAGCAAGCTCAGTGTTTCTCAATCCTTGTTAGTTCGTCTATTTAAAGAGAGGGTTTTTATCTGATGACTTGACCTCATACCATCTAAACTCATGGTATATGAGCAAATTTCTTTATCATTCACATTTTAAGATACTGAAAATACATTTAATTCCCCAAACTATGAGTAAACTATGAGTTCAGTTCTCTGCAGATCCTATGCACCTGAAAATATGACCAGAGCCAATAAATCTTTGAAAACCACTTGCTGAAACAAGGTCAGTGACAAACCAGATGGGTGGCAAACTCCCTGACACCAGGAGGCAAATGTAAGACAATTTATCTTTATCCTGCATTTGCCAGGAAACCCAGTTCTCCCCGGAGGAAGAAGGATGTTGTTTTGCAGGACTGGGCCCAATGCAAAACAATAGTCAAGCCATTTCTTAGATCTTTCCAAACACTCTCATTAAGGAACAACAATGGTTTCCTTCCTAACTTTTTGAAAAATAAACAGTTAAGCAGAACTACCATGGTTCAAACACTCCCTCAGCTACAGCAGCTGTTGTTCCTGGTGCAGAGTTCCTGCTAACATCAAAGGACTTCTGCAGGATAAGGATAGTGGAATAATACGTGTCTTGTCTGTGTGGTTGTAATTCACAGCTTTCTGTTTTCTGGAAGATGGTATGTTTTGTAGCAAAATACGACAGTATTATTAACATTTAAATATTTTTTTTCCCAGAATTCATAAGCATTTCCGACATCTAAATACCTAGGACTGAATCTCCCGTTAGGGGATAAAATAAAAGCAAAGCACACAGAAAAGTTAAAATATGGACATCTTTAGGTAATTCCTCATATCTTTCATTTGCATGCTGACAAACCTGCCCTTTGCAGCCTGCTTGTATGCATTTTTATATTCTTCACATACAAATAAAAAAAAATACCATCAATGACTTTCAATCTTGCGGAGGCATATGTTGCACCATACTTATTTTTGGTGTGGCAGATGTAAACGCCTTCATCTGATTTTTTGAGCCCTTGAATCTGCAGCCAGCCTGTCACACCGTACTTCTGAGGCCCACCTCTTGCCTTTGAAAAGAGAAAGAAGTAGTTAAAATTAAGTAGTTAAGAGACACCATGATATTTCTCAAAATAGTTGTGGCTGGATTAAACATCCTTCCAACTTTTGCTTTTTCTTTATTGCCATCATGCTTTGATTCTCTTTGATTCTGCAGCCTTATATTTTAACAGCCTGTTGTCTCTATGCCTCCAGGTTCATGCTTTCCCTGCTCTGCTATTTAAACCTCACTGCCCTTCACAGTGCTCTGATTCTTGTCCTTTTGATGCTTCTGCTTCCCAGCGCACCACTTTGTGCTGCTGCTGCTTCAAAGCATTGCCACCTGTTCTCAAGCTCATAAGATTTCTTCAGGATGAGACTGGCAGGTGGGTCTGGGTGAGTTGTTTAGGGCCCAGGGGCCTGACCAAGCTGGCACTTGGATTGGCATAAGATACCCTGAGCTTTCACACTTCGTGGCAATCAGTTTCAACTTACTCCAGCTAAAGCCTCTTAAAGGGGTGAGCTTTCTTTTCCAAACAAATAACACAAAACAGAGATGCTGTCATGCTGACTCTATTAATGAGATAGGTTAACAGGGTTCAGTTTAGCCTCTGAGGTAACAAGCGTTTGGATGTGGGTACTTGCACCATTGTTTCTGAGCAACTTTTGAGTCCACCAATCCCACCTGTGTTTATGCTGTCTCTGGAAACATTTCTAAATAACTTACACTCTTAGTACTTCAATACTTTTGGTACTTTAGCTTTTTCTGTGTTTTTTTATGCCGGCCTTTTTGTTTAGATTATGCCCCATGGCCTTTGGATCTTCTCGTTTTTGGATGTGTATCCAGAAAGCTAGATTTTCAATGCATTTCTCTGCATAGTCTCTGTTCATATTTGTCCGTTGGAGAAGGCACGTGGATGCAGGCTTCAGCCTTACTGCAGTCTGCCTCTATATCTGGCTTTGTTAGCTCATCTTCCCAGAAAGTTATTTCCATTTAAAAGAATTAGAATTTTGATTTATTTAATTTTAGCTCAAACTTTCAGGCTGTTTTTAGATTTGCTTGAA